ACGGCATCTTAAACTAACCACCAGTACCTATTCTTCTCACTCACTCTTTACCCCTTCTTGCAGCAGGGATTCTGGTATTACTTTTATTATCTTGCCTCAGAGTAGGGGAGTAGTAGTCTCTGTGTAGTCTCCTGAGGTCCCTCCCTGACCAAGGTTGCTGGGATTCTAACAGGTTTGAGCTCATATTTGACAGACTCAAAATCTCACTGCAAATCGGGAAGAGACTTGCTGGTGAGCATGTGTTTATTTTTGGATTAATGTTTTCACATTGTCACTACACTGTGACTCTTTTTAAAGTCATTTTACTTTTGATCTGAGAAAACTGGGTTTTTTCAATCTCAGCTGACTAATTATGTGGCTGTGGAAGGTAGAGGCTGACAACAGCTGTGTAAGTTGTAATGAGTGGATGTGATGCTGTAGCTGAAAAACTCAGGCAGCACGCATTGGGCCACTGCAAATAACAGAGCAGCATGGCAGTTTGACATTTCCGCAAGTGCATTTGACGTCACCTAGTCTTTATTCTGATGAAATTACTCTTGTGTGTTCTCATAAATGTCCTGAGTGTTGGGCAGCACATTTGGAACAGTTCAGAACTTCTGTACCAGTTTAGATCTGGTCACTGGTTTTCTCACACCAGTGCAGTTAAAACTGGCCAGTCTTTTTCCCCTTGCCTTCCGACAGCGTAAGTACATTCAGAGACCTATCCTACCGTGACAGGAGAGCGTTGGGGGCTGGAGCCTTTGGTACTTTGCACAGCGCAGCACAGCCATCCCTTCCCCACAATGCTTGGACCTAACTAGACCAGAGTCATGAGGCATGCCGATACGATTTTGTTCTGTGCTCAGCTGTGTAGCCTTGGAAAAATAAAAAAGGCCATATTGTTTACAGTGTCCCATTGCCTTAGTTGATTTCATGTTATGAATGCCTAGAATTTTTTGGTTTAATCTTAAATACATGAAATATTTTGTATAAATTTTAGGAGTGGTCCTTAATCATCTCTCACAAAACTTGTTGGTTAGCATTGCATTGATGACTTCTGTCTAGTCCTCCTGCTGAGTGATACTCAGTGTGTTAGCAAACAAAACAGACAAAAGGAAAATGAGACCTAAAAAGATGTGAACAAACATCTGCAGAGTTCTCATCTCCTGAATAATAAGCATCATTCTACTATATTCCTTCCTTAGTATTCTCTGTGTATTTGTCATCCCTTGGTGTGCTACATCTAATTTAGAATCTAATCCGTACCAGAAAAAGAACTTGCAAGTTTTATTTGCCTAGGTACTATGCACACACAGTTTAAATGTTAAAATGTATAAATAATGGGAAAAAAATGGAGCAGGCAAAGATAGGAGTCTCTCCCTGCAACATATCCCAACTAGCAGTTCACCCCTCCTTCTCCATTCTTGCGTTAATCATGAGTTAATTGAGTGACAATTCTAAAATGAATGAAGCAAAAACCTACTAAGAAGGAGGAAGCTTACAAACTCACTGTAATTTGCAACTGAGTTGAGGTGTTAATAAGTGCAACCCTAGTGTATTAATTAATTTGGATTATTACTTAGCCTTGTGTTTCTATAAAGATTTTGTTCCCCTGGATTTTAATTTTGACTGTTTCCTAAATAAAACAGTCATGGCGATAGATAATTTTGTTTGCAACATCAGCTCAGTGAAGCTGATGAATAAATGCATCTTGAATTTCCCTAAGCAAACTGAATTCAAATTAGTGATATTTAGTGATTTTTTTTTTTTCTTTTTGCTGTGTCTTTTCTCCTTTGTGTTTGTTCTGCTGATAGTGTTGAGTAAGTAAGTATTAGGCATGATTAGCTCACATATTCTTCTAGAGGGTAGGTTCATCGGTCTAGCTTTATTTGAATTGCTAGTGTATAGTGGCAAACTGTTATTTGATTTTTAGAGGTAATGTTGCTAATACACCAAATTAGGGAACATCGCTCATAGTTTAGATGGGTAAAGTAAAATGTAAATGAGAAGCCATACCTTGGTTGATATGGCTTGATTGCCTCTTAACTGATATGAGTTGTCCTCTCTCACAATGTAACTCTTTCCATGTTTTGATTGCCTGTGTTCCTAACTATATCACTTCTTACTGGCCTATCACTAAGCAATTTTTGAAATGTCATAGTGCATCTATGATTCCCTACCATTACAGCTTTGTGTTAGAACCGCAATTAATTCTGAAAATCAAATTCCTGTTCTTTTTGTCAACCTGCAGCTATTGTAAAAAATTTCATTCGCTCTTTCTAGACCTCATCACAGTTTCTTGCACAGTGCGTGACTACAAAATGCTCTTCTTGGTACAGAATTATACACAAGAGACTTGGATTTCAAATGTTTCTAGCCCTTCTATTTGTGGTGATAACAACGAAAATATTAACAACATTTCAAGCCTCATAACATTATTTACCTGCATGTGCAGACAGCCTGAAGCAACATCTGTACCTAGTCTGATTGAGATAAAAAAGGCAATTCAGATTTCCTTGGATCCCACTCACTTTCCAAGCCGTCTGTTAGGGATTTTCCCAGGGTTCTGCACATTTGCCACAAAATTTGTGTTTTGTCACACTTTTTAAATGTTGTTTTCTGGTTTCATGTCCTACTAGAAAATATTGCAGTAGTTTCTTACTCTCTGAGTCTGCTTTCCTGGAGAAATATTGAGGTTACATTACATTCCTAAAAAGCGATCTTACTGCCCAAGACATAAAAATGTATTTAGGGCATGCAAAGAACTTCATCCATGTCCTCTAGCAACTGAAGAGAGGTGAGGGAATCAAGTGGAATTACTTATTAGTTCTCTCAGTCTCCTTTAATTCTGAGAAACTGAGAGAGAAGAGGAGATAAGTCATAGACAAAAATTATATAGCATGTATTGGGTCAGGACATGTAATCTGTAGATTTTTGACCTACAAGCATCTATGGGTACTTTAACCAGTCACAAGGTAATTAAAAATTCAAAAGGACTCTCTTTCTGATCATACAGATATTATCGAAGGGTGCACATTAAGTAAAAAAGCATAACAGAAGTACTGCAACATTTTAATCAGATTATCTATGGCAGAGAGGCTCTGAAAATATAAAAATACATATCCTTCCTCAGTTGAAGGACTGTGGCATTCTGACACTTTAAAAAATTGCTATATTAATATTGCTTTACCTAAGGAATATTCACTTTATCTTCTATAAGAAATAATGGAATATATCCCTGTGCAGGATTACCTGTTTCTTTCATTCCACTACTGTATTCGAGCAGTTCATAAGTAATTAGAATGTGGGAATGAAAGAGTAAAGTGCTGGAGTCTTCCCTAAACCTGTGGCAGTCGCACAGTGGTGTGTGCATATGTCTTACCAGGCATTCCAGAAACAGGAATTTGTTTTCGTTGACCTCACCCACACCGAATACTTGCTGCCAGCTAAAATAATTTCAGCAAGATGTGGCATGTAAAGTGGTTTTAACAATTTTACTTTGAACTGGAAGAGTAATTCCATTTCTGATTACTCCAACACTGCAAAACTCAGCAGAAATTTCAAAGCCTATCAATTAAAGTGCTTTCCAATCAGGGACATTGTTGAGTATATCCCTTCTCCTCCTTATGCAGTAAAATTCAGGCTGCCTGCATTACCTCTGTGTTCTGGTTACTTGAACTTCTTCTTTAAAAAGAGAATACTATTTTAAGTATGGAAGAAAACACTGCAACCATTTTAGCAGGATTCTTAAAGAATTACAGAGAAGAGTATTACAAAAGTTAAAATCTGTCAGTGTTAGGCTGAAGCTAGGGACATAACATCAGCAGATTGTGCTGCCTGTATCGTTCTTTTATTCTCTCCATTTAGCTTGAGAACATTTTAAGGAACATCAAGTCCCCAGCTGTTTTCATTCATCATCACCTTCCATACAAGCCTACTCAGGAGTCAGCGTAAAGACTTTATTCTGCAGTGTAGAAAATACACCCTTAGGAATTGCTCCTTCCTCACCCCTGCACGTAGCATGTGCGGAGTTTAGATGTCACAGCGGTCTTGATCATCCGTTTTACAAGTTTCCCCAAGAGAAGTGGATGCATCGTACAAGGCAGCCTGAGCAGGCAGACAAGGAGCAAACCAAGGTCTGCTGGGTTTCCCTGGTCAGCAGGAGCAAGAAGCCAGGACTCCGGGGTGCCGCACAGAGCGTGCCGCCTCTGCCGCTTCAGCAGGGCTCCCTTGTACTGGGCCTTGGTCCCCAAGCAAGTATTTGCTCCACTGAACTGGCACGTTTGCTGCATTGCAGTGATGTCAGAAAGATTACTTAATGGGAAGGAATTATTCTAGATTATCAGTTTGTTTAGCTAAAATCAGAACTGAGACCTAAGAGGGAAAGCCTATATGGCAGTAGTTAAGTCAGAAACCAATCAATTCCCACCTTCTGGGTTTTACATATGCCGCCAGCAAAAGTTTGACTGCAGCATTTCAGGGCATATCCAGTCTGGCTGTACTCTGAGCACCTCACAGGCATGGGGACGGTGGGCTACGCTAGTGGAATAAGTGCTCATGCTTTGCTGTTCCTAATGCTTGAATAAAGTAGGCAAAAATATACACATACTCTTTCTTAAGCAGTGTCATTATTCTGACCTAGTACTATTGGTTTTTTCTGCTTTAGCTTTCCCCATAAAATAAGAAACAGGCTACAGTAGGTGTCTGTACCATGTGAAGAACTCTGAGGTCTAGCTTTTTTTTCTAAACAAGTAATATGTTAAAGTGCTAAGTCTAGTTTATTTTCTTCAAAGCTTCTTATCATGATATCTGTAATATCAATAATCCTGCCATTCTCTGCAACAGAACAATTTTTCAGGTAATTAACATTAGACTGACAAGTGGGTTGAGAAGTAATCCTAGGCTAACACAAGAATTTTATTCCAGCCTGCTTTCATGAGCCTTCTTCCTTTGTTCAGAACGTGTGATGGTTTTTATTGCCATTCTTCACCAACTTTTTTATATTCTTAATTTTGTTCTAGTGTTTCAGCAAAAGGCCACTCGAGTGCCCAGTGACAACAGGACGTACTGTGATGCCAGGAAGCCCGGTACAGAATTTAATTTAGCTCTTTAACTGCCTTGATGCTTTTCAGTAGAACTAGTAGAGATTTGCTGTGACTTGATTTTGACTGATTTAGCATCTATTTTCCCACATGTGATTTATATCCTTAATGGTATTGCAGCCTTAAGAGATCAGATTAAAGAAAGAAAAAGAAGAGTTACAGTCTTGGGGGAAAGATTTGTAGAGTCAGAGTTACTTTACCGTTTTCTGTTTCCTTTCTCCATTGTGATAAAAACCAAGAAAAGGAAGGATGGGAGGGCTCAGCTATGCACTAATTCCAGCCATGGAAAGGCAGCAGCGTGGGGAGCAACAGTTCTCTCCTGGGTACCCCAAGATCCATGTAAAATGAATTACGTGTGGCAGTCCAGTTGTTATTTAATTTGTAGCACATCAAAATGTTGCTACTATAAATTCCATTAATGGTACCGTAAAATAATTAACAATGTTATGTACAAAATTAATGAAAACTGCGTGAAGATTTTTCTTCCCTCTTCTGTTAACAAGTAGCAGGTCAGGATTAAAGTGTATAGAGCAGCATGTAATCACCTATTTATTTCTGCAGCGGGGAACCGCAGTCTCCAGTGCTACTGACATTACTTTTCATGAATGCTGAACCAGTTAGGAAAATATAGGAACTTCTATATCTTACTATGTTGGAATATTGGTAGCATACCTCTGCAAACCAATCTAGTGGTCTTCTATGGTGGAGCGACATCAGTGGACAAGGGAAGAGCTACTGATGTCGCCTATCTGGACTTCTGTAAGGCCTTTGACACGGTCCCCCACAACATCCTTCTCTCTAAATTGGAGAGATATGGATTTGATGGGTGGACTGTTTGGTAGGTGGTGGTCAACAGGTCAATGTCCAGATGGAGACTGGTAACAAGTGATGTCCCTCAGGGGTCCATACTGGGACCAGTACTATTTAATATCTCCTCATCAATGACATAGTGGGATCGAGTGCACCCTCAGCAAGTTTGCAGATGACACCAAGCTGAGTGGTGTGGCTGACATGCCTGAGGGACAGGATGACATCCAGAGGGACCTGGACAAGCTCAAGAAGTGGGTTCACGTGAACCTCATGAGGTTCAACAAGGCCAAGTGCAAGGTCCTGCACCTGGGTCATGGCAACCTCCGATATCAATGCAGGCTGGGGGATGAAGGGATTGAGAGCAGCCCTGTGGAGAGGGACTTGGGGGGACCGGTGGATGAAAAGCTGGACATGAGCTGGCATTGTGCGCTTGCAGCCCATAAAGCCAACCATATCCTGGGCTGCATCAAAGAAAGTGTGGCCAGCTCAGGGGAGATGATTCTGCCCCTCTACTTCACTCTCGTGAGACCTCATCTGGAGTACTGCGTTCAGCTCTGGGGCCCCCAACACAAGGAGGACAGGGACCTGTTGGAGTGGGTCCAGAGGAGGGCCACAAAAATGATCTGAGGGCTGGAGCACCTCTCCTATGAAGACAGGCTGAGAGAGTTGGGGTTGTTCAGCCTGGAGAAGAGAAGGCTCTAGGAAGACCTTATTGCGGCCTTTCAGTACCTGAAGGGAGCTTATAAGAAAGACGGGGACAAACTTTTTAGCAGGGCATGTAGTGATAGGACAAGGGGAAATGGTCCTAAACTAAAAGAGGCTAGATATAGACTAGATAGAAGGACGAAATTTTTTTACAGTGAGGGTGGTGAAACACTGGAACAGGTTGCCCAGAGAGGTGGTAGATGCCCCATTGCTGGAAACATTCAAGATCAGGTTGGATGGGGCTCTGAGCAACCTGATCTAGCTGAAGATGTCCCTGCTCCTTGCAGGGTGTTGGACTAGATGACCTTCAAAGGTCCCTTCCAACCCAAACTATTCTATGATAAAACAGAGTAGTTTTTATGGGTTTGAGGAAGTACACACACACACACACGCACGCATTTGCTGATATGAAAAATGCAGTTTTACCTAAACTGGTCTGATCTCCAAATAATCTTATCAGATGCAAGACATTAGGTTCATTTCTCTGTCAAAATAGAAACAATTATCTGAGATGCGAAAGAGTAGAGATTCATGCCTAATATGTGCTAGTATGATCAAAAGGAGGGAGTGGGAGAAGCCACAGTAGCTGTTTTTTCACCTGGTATGTTTTCTTTTGCACAGTTCTTCCTCACTTAAAATAAAAGATACGGGTGCATAACACAGCAGAAAAACTGACCCAAATCATACTTATGGTTTAAACTTTTATCCTGGCTGCGTTCTCTGTGCAGTGAAACAGGTGCTTGATGGCACCTTTGCAACAGCCTCACACAGGGCCAGGAGAGCCCTGTTTCCTGGCTGCTCATGTGCTCTGGGTCGGCTATTTCAGTATCAGTATCTTGGAGATAGGCGGTGCTGCACCTCCCTGGACCAAGCTGTGAATCTGATAATACATACCTCCCTGTCATTTCCCTTCGGTTGTGCACCTGTATCCTAATCTCTAGGAGGACTAGGTTGTAATGTTTTCTTGTCACAGCAATGCATTTAATAATTTGGGGGAAAGAAATCATGTGAAATTTCAAAATGCTTTCTGACCAAATTTCAGCCCCAGCTTTTGAGAAATGTAATGTGTGAAGCTGGAGAAGGAAGGGAAAAAAAGGTGCTATGGGTATTTTTTGTCTTGACATAGCAAGAATTTCCTTTAAAATATCAGTATTATAGCTTTAGCGCTAGAAGGAATTTCTTATTTGAACTGACGCTAATGGAGAGAGAATCCAGGGATCAGGGCAATAGTAATGAATGAAATGTTTAAGATGCTACTCTGCTGCCAAAGAGTAATGGTAGACTCCTCATTGATTTGTTGTATTTCTCTCCCTGGGAAAAAGAAAAACCAAACAAACAGAAGAAGAGGGAGAGGGAGAGCCACCCTAAAGATGGTGTGGTTTTATTGATGTCAGATTATAAAATCACTGCTTACATGCCTTTGTTGGAGAAGGTGCTTGCATCATAAAGAGAAAGGAATGAAAAGGGTTAATAATATTTTCTACCTTTATCTTTCTACATTTTGTAGCAGCATACAGAGGCCACACTGACACAGTAACTGATAGCACTGTGAAACACAACATCCTTACTGAACAGGAAGAACTCATCTACTTGCAAGAACAGGTGAAAAAGGGGGCAATCTCTGTGGATAAAGCCCTTGACAGATTTAAACGGTGGCAGAATGAAAAACAGAGACTACAGTCCCCTCAACAGGTATGAGTCTGAAATTTATGTTTCTTGATGGGAATCTTGATCAGAAGCTCCAAAAACAAACTCTTGTATTTTGGCTCCTACGTGTGAAGTCAAAAATAAGAGTCATGATTTACATGCCCATCAGCTCCCAAGGAACTTGCTGCTTACGGTTCTGAATCTTCTAGATACCCATTTCCGCTGTTGTTTGATCACTTGAGAGGCTTCCTGAATTTATTTTGCCTAACTTCAGGTGCTGTTGCATTTGGTTAAAATCCTGAGTTAAACACGTTCATCTTTTAAGACTTCTGTTCTAAACTGCTAGGTGGTGCTTAGGTCTATGCATCTTTTATGGAACCACAAACCTTCTGTAGCTGAACAAACTGAACGCGCTATTGAACAGTGTCACTGACAGAAACCTAATGATATCAAGTACATTGTTAATACATACTGACTTACATCAGGCTTTATGCCTATCTGAAAGTGTTGAATCTACTTAGTGAAATTCACAATTGTTAGCAGTGCTCTTCAGCTCCTTTGTATTCAACGTATGGAGTAAATAGAGGTGCACAAAACCAGGATTTACAAAAGCCCATGCACTGAGTCACTGAAAGAACTGCATTAAAGCTAGAAGCTAAGGGGAAAGGCACGGTGAGGAGCTTTGTTAATTACTTCTAACAGGACAGCTGGAGGAAGAGGTTAGGCCCTCATTTCACATGAGGTCATGCATTAACAAAAATATTTTCTTGTTGTCCTTTAAGTGCATTTAGTAGAAAGAGGAAAACAACCAAAGCTAGTCTACTACTCTACAGAGTGGGAGAGCTGGCAGATGCTGCCAATGCAGAGATTAAATGTTCTTTGTGTCTCTATTTACTGAAGAAAAAGTATGAGCTACGAGTCATCACAGTGGAACACTTAATAGCAAAAGTGCGAGGGCTTAGAACGGTTTAGGAGCCCAGTTTCCAGGCTGGGCACCAGCAGCACAGCACTGGCCGTTCGGCAGCAGTGCGAGAGTATGGTGGGTGCCCCCTTCCGAATCCCTCTGCGGCCAAGCACGCAGATGGGAATTGCTGGTATTGCTCTGTCAGTCAGGGGAATTACTTGTGGAAGGAGATGATATCTTATCTGTGCAAAGATAGCAGCACTAAGTCATAAGCCCATATTTCAAGGAGGATTTACGTGGCCTGTTTTCACTGCCTTGGGGAAAAAGCTACTCTCTAGTGGTGGTTTATACCCTGCATTGCATGTGTGACTTTTCTTTGGTTCTGTACAGTAGAGGAGTCCTTCACTGTTACCCCAGCATGAACACAGTGAATCTACTTCATGCTATCACTGCAGTTGTCTGGTCTTCACTGGGATTTTTGAGGAAAAAAAAATCACTTGTCCAAAGCAAAAAATAAACTCCCAAGCCTCTGTAATCTTAATACCAGAATTGATATAACTTACTGACAGGAAAAACTTCACAAGACTCTTAGGTATAAATGCTAAAATTAGCATCTACTTATCATAGCATCATAGACATTTTTCAGTCTTTTAAAAATTATTTTTCTGGAGAGAGAGAGAGAGAGAGAAGCTTGGTGTTCAGAATGCTAAAGCATCCAGCTTTTTATAGTTATTCATTATTTCTACAATAAACTTCCGTTACTGATTTCTGCTGCTGGTTTTATGCTTGTTTTTTTACTTAAAGGAAAAAGTGCCGCACCTTAGAGACACCGATATTGGAAGCAGACTAGAAAAGGAAAATCTGCATGGTAAGTTGCACTTTCTTTGCCTTTCAGAACACTGACGCCTTGAACTGTAAGTATACTGCAAATGTCTGATCCAAAGCATAAGCAGACTTTTGGATCGGGCAATGAATTTGTAATGAGCATTTTCTGTATCTGACCACATTTAAGTTACTTTAGTGTAATCAGGCCTTCAGCAGGGTCAAGATTTCATCCCAAAGATGAGCTCACTGAGAGTTAATGGGGCAGAAAATTTACCAAGTCTTCGTGGCTCAGCTTTTCTGTAGCCCATTTCCTACTGCTTCATCACAATTAGGGTAGATGATTTCTTTAGAGCAATTTACTTGATGGCTTCAATATTTTATTTGTAAATCAGCTATCAGTTTGCACTTGCAAATTCTTGATGAACTTGCCACTGCTACAACAGTTTAGTATTGTGAGTCATTAATAAAAGCTGTACCATTGGTCATTTAAGATGCTTTTTTCCCTTTGTGATTGAATGTCATCTGCAGGAGTATAAATCACCTGCATTAGGAAAAATTTCTTCACGGAAAGGGTAGTCAACCATTGGAACAGGCTGCCCAGAGAGGTGGTGGAGTCACCATCCCTGGAAGCGTTCAAAAAATGGGTAGACGTGGCACTTTGGGACATGGTCTAGTCTAGTCTACCCTTAATAGGTTTAGTGTGGACTTGGCAGTGTAGGTTAATGGTTGGACGATCTTAAAGGTCTTTTCCAACCTAAATGATTCTATGATTTTCCTGCAAATTATTTTCTCTTGTTGCTATGAAAAGATTGTGTTAGATGATACTGACTTTAGGCCTATAATTTCTGTAAACTTCAGTACACATATGTTCTTGGAAGGGAAATCTAGACTGGACTGAGTACCATTTGTGTATCACTATTTAAATTATCACCTAAATGTGTTATTTCCTTCCTGCAAGAGAGTAAAATAATCCACAGTACTGGTTTCATTATTCTGTTAGACAGTGTTGTATTTATGTGCACTCGTGAGATACTGTAATTAAGGGATATTCTTGCTGGCCCAGTGGCAGAGTTGCAGTCCAGACTACTTATATTTCAGCTTTAATGTCCTCTGTGGTTGGTAGTGGTGCAGCATCCTGAGCACAGGAACAGGCTCAGTCCGTAAGCCTTCACAAGGCACTCAAGAGCCCAAGGGTCTGGGATCACTGCATTTGTTCCTACAATCTTTTTTCCATAGGCAAGGCAAAGCTCACCATGACGTGAGAGCCATTCTTGGAAAGCATTTGTCTGTAGGGTTTTCTCTTAAGGCCGCATCAGTCCTGCCTCTGTAGCCGTCCTCTCTCTCCAGAGTTTGATTAGTGAATCACACCAGCAGAAACGTAGCACCAACACCAGAATTGTAGATTTTGTTAAATTGTCCAGTAACTCAGATAATGATCAGTATGTTCCCTTCTGATCCTAACCTCTCTTCCCTCTGTTACACTATGTCATATCCTGTGATGCATATAAATCAGCAGCTTTGCACTGCAGAAATACAATGGGGAGAATCATTATGGAGGCCCCTGTCTTGTCCAACAGTGCACTTTATTATCAAAGATTTAAATTCTTGAAAATAAGGACATCTAAAAGAGGGAACTCCCTCTACAGCTGGAGGCATATTGATGGCAAGAGTAAAGAAGGATGTCAGAAGACCAATACCTAAGTCCAAACATCAATAAATTGCCTGAAACAAAAATGACAATGATGTTCTTTTCTCTTTCGTAGTTCCTAAGGAAAGCAGACCAGAAAGCAATCAACTTAGAGACTTTTTGTTCCACATGCCATTCAATAAAGCGGTACGTATCAATGTTAGCAGTTCTCAGATTTGTTTAATGAATCTGTATACAGACTCTCCATCTGTACCTTTAAAAGTGTGGGCCTCCCGCTCCAGATTCCATGTTTGAAATCAGGATTTGGATAGTCTTTTTCAAAGACAGTTTTTGAAGACTTGATTGAGGATTTAAAGAGATCACATCAGAAGCTTGTTAGAAAAGGAATTTGATTTTTTTTTAATGAGAAAAGAAAATATCTCCTATAAATTAGTATGGAACGTAGTTTTTAGTTTCTTGATAAGTTTGATCTTGCTTCTGCTGTAATGAAAGTTATTAATGAGAGTGGCACTCAGTTCAGTCTTCCATTATAACATTTGATGCTATCTGGAAGTTCATGTCTCATTTTGCAGCAGTTTAATATAGGACTGAATAACACCCCACAAAAAAATCAACTGCAAAGCAAAAAGTTCTGTCACTCTTGGAGTGAAATATCCACAAAAACCTATTTTAAGAACAACTAAATAAGGACTAAGCATGTAGAATGTTCATTTGCAGAAAGTACAGGCACAGCCAGTGATTTATCCCATTACTATATAATACACATATGGTCTTGCCCATAGACATTGATAATATTCTTATCTTTTTTCCAAAAAGGGAAGTCAGATGTAAGCCAACAGAACAACAAAAACCTTTAGTAAAATTTCATGGAAATACATAATGGGGGACAGAAGGTCCACTTTGAAATCTGAGTGGCCCAGATTTTCTTAAGTTATTTAAGGTTTTTCTTGGCATTTTTCCTGATGCCACCAAAGTACTGAACTAGAAGTAGCCTATTGCCTATGGGAAACTTTATCTCTAAGTGAGGCTCATACACTATTTGGAAAGCTACCTTGCCAGCTGTGAAACACTATAGAGTAGGAGACAAAGAAGAATGGAGAGAACAACAGAATTGAAGCAGTTGAACTGATGAGGTAGGTCTTGGCATTTGAAGTCCTCAGCCATAGATAGGTCTTCTTCTGGGAGACATTACCAAATCAGGACAGCCAGAATGCGCCCACAGTGAGGTAGATGCATGCTGCTCTCACACCAAGGTGGATGCGTGCTGCTGCTGTGGGATCCCCCAAGGCATGAGCACACAAATATGGTTAGACCTCAGCTTACTCTGTGGTAACTGATTCTTTGCCTATACCCTTAAGGGTAAGATATGGCTGGAGAGTCTTGGGTTTGTGCGTGTCCACTAGCAGAGTGAATGGCAGCAGCTTAGACAGCAGGATGACTGGATAAGTTTCCTTTAAAGTCTTAAAAGACAATGCAGTTTTCACATGCATTCCATGTCCATACTTTCTAGCACATAGAAATTTTTAAAAAACCTATATGTTGTCTGTTTGCATCTTTGGACATTGGAATTACCTATGTGAATCTCATTTAGCTGTTTCTGGAAATGAGATTTCAAAATCTGCCTTCTATTGCAGTTACACCGTGGCACCTCATGTGCCACATCCCACAGATTCATCCAGCATCTAAAAATAAGTGCAAGATTGCAGAAACTACATAAGATAGTTTGAATTGCTTGTAGTTATCCCCCTCATAGCTAATCTCTGTAGAACCTTGGTCTTTAGGGATACAGCTAGTATAGTGTAAGATTCCTCATCAAAACCAGGAATGACTGATACTCTGTTCTCCACTCTTGGCGTAGCAGCAAGAATGGAGTAGTAGATGGCGCTGCTTCATTGCTAGGTAATGAGCAAGATAGAGGCCGCAGAAGACAAACTGTAACTCAGATGGACTTCAGAAGACCAATACTGCATTAAGCAAGTGTTAAGCTTGACCCTTTTTTTTTTTTTTTTAATTATTATTTCAATACCAGCAACTTACATAATAGTTTTAAATTAAGGTAGGTCTTGGGAAGCATGTCAGATACTTAGTAGTCCTCCAGTGACAAATATACCCATGGGGCAAATGAGCGATTCAGCCTTTGCCTCTGTTCCAGTCTTGGGATCCTTGGCAAGACTGGCAAGGAAGGTGGCCTGCTGTGGAAAGGTCAAAAGCTTTTTCCACAGGGAGCTCAACTGAAACCATTTATTTCTTAGCTGTTAAAATCAGTAGGTACTTACACTGAAAGTGGCCTTCATATCCAAGAAAGGCAACTTTACTATCTGGTGCTACAGACTGTTTAATACTGACCCACTCCTGTAAGGCACTGTAAACAGCCACGTCATCCACTGCAGTAAAGGAAGCCTCCACAGAATTTCTTTTTTGCCACATTTTGATTTCCAGATTTGTAGATGCCTATGACAGTAAAGCAGGTCTGGTTTAATTAAGTTTGCTCAACCAGCTGCCAAAGACCAAATCTATTCCTCAGCTTCATCCAAAAAACACTCAAAAGAGCACTATGCACCTTTTACAAACTGGCAGGTTATTGATTACATTCACTATCCTAAATGTCTGGCTTCATTCCTCAACCCTCATCAGCACCTTGTTTTTAGTCCAAGTTGCTAACAGATTGCTTAGTCATCAGTTGATGCCACTCCAGCTTGCAGGTAGTGTCTAAGTAGAGTTCCCTGAAAACTAAAAAAACAGCACTTAATTTTGAGCCCATTAACCAATTTCTGTTGTCTCCGATAGGCCAATAGGAAGATGAACAAAGACAGACCCTAATTTTGACATTTGGATCCATGGGAACTCAAACTTTTTTACTCAGCCCAGTTAGCAAAGTTGAAATAACTCAGGATCCTGAAGCACATACAAGCTTTTGTATGTGTGGAGAGTGAGGAAGACATGGAAAAGATTTGGTTTTCTTCATGGCTTCAACAGTGTACATTTTAATCAGGACCTCTAGTCTTGAAAATACGTATTTGTTGGTAGTTCACAATAGCATCCATTGGACTTGTGAAGCTACATCTTTAGCCTGACTTATTTCCAGTTTCTTAAGTATTTTGTAGCTTCACGTGATGCTCAAATTTAAAATTAAGAAAATAACAAAAATCAGTTTTCTGCCCATTGGTCACCAAATCAGGTCTTCATGAGGCAAGCCCACAGTCAAACTGCTGACTGAGGAATTCACCAAGACAACTGAATATCCATGTACCCCTCAGCCTCTCCTAACTGCCGCCAGTAAAGACCAGCCATGCTGTTAGAAGTAAGATTTTACAAAGCCACCTCATGTCATTCTCCCAGACACCACCTGCCTATTTTTGTGGATGTCCCCTGCTCCCAGGGACACGTGTTGTATTCACATTTTAAGTAAAACACATAAGAAGTGACTCATCCTAGGTGTGTATTTTGTGAATTATTCAACTTCAAAAGACATTCTGCACTGGCCTAATTTATCATTGATATACATGACTGTTTATTAATTGCATCTATTTCTTTTTAGTCTCCAACTAGGAACCCAACAGACAAGGAACAGATGCCTAATTAACAGAGGTAAGAGCATGGATATGAACACACACAGAGACATTATTTGTCATGGAAACCAACGCTTGTGGAAGTACTTTCCATCAGAGCGCATTTGCGTAACAATAGAATGGAAGTGCATCTCGGAGGTCTGATTTCACAAGCTAAGCCATAATCATCATACAATTCTGGTTTATACTAGAACTTACTTTTTGTCAGGTGTCAACCTATTCTTGTTACTGCAGGGCAGATTTGCAATTAGACACTTACCTGACTTGTGGATGCAGTTGAAGACAGTTCCCATTAGTTTTTGCAACTAATTGAGCTTACGCAACTAAGAGGTGGATTAGAGTGTAGTCCTACATACTGATCGCACATGCAGTATCAAATATATTGAATATCAAAATAAAGTCGAAAGGCATAGATGGAACGATGTGTCCAGAAATGCTGATTAACCAAGAGACCAGTGGTCGTTTAAGTGCTGGAAAGCTTACAGGTGATGATACTGTCTCCACAAACAGCAGAATTTCCTGATGTTTATGTTAGTGATTGTGAGTTTCTTGGTTTTGGGCATCTAATGAGATCTTTAATAGTTGGGGGTTTTAATTACTATTTGCTACCTGTGTGCTTCTATGGATATCTCATAGCACTTTTAAAGCTGTAGGTCTACCTTTCCATGAAACTTGATCATTAGGCTTGCTGCTAGGAGATAAAAGTAAATAAATCTGGTCTACAGCATTCATTGGGGTTTTGGGGGGTTTTTTCATCAGTTCAGTTTTCAACATCTGTGCTGAGAACAAACTTACCAGGAATGGAACTTAGATCACCATCTGAGGTTGTAGACTTTATGAATTATCTTGCATTCATTCTGAGATAGGGTACAGTGAAATAATCACCTGGAAAATTTCTTATTTTGCTAATTCCTCTGAAAATGAAGGAGTCATGCAACCTTTCTTATGCATGGAAGGATGATTGCCATTAAAAGTTTAAGGCCAAGAGTAAGGATGTCTGCATTCTGTTATAATGTATGTGCAAATCTTTTCCTTGAGATCTGTAACGAATTGCCAATCCCTTGGTTTTCTTAGGCACTGGATTTCTTCAGTTCGTTGATCTCTTCAAGAACAGTCTGTGCTGAACAGCTCCGAAAGTCAAAGTTAGATTTTCTTTTTCTGTTTCCTTTCCTTCAGATGACTTGAGGACCTGAAGGCTTCAAAATTAAAATTTACCATCTTAGATATGAGTAGTATTTGTAATTTTGCATTGTTAGAATTATAAAAGGGATTAAATAATATTTGTTCACAGTAACAAAATGATACAATTTATTCCTGAAGACAAATGTAATTTTAAAGGCTTTGTTAGCTAAGTTGATTTGCCTCTCCAGCTTTTCCAAGTGGGGTGAATGACATGTTATACTGTTGCAACATTATTTTTGTAGCACTGAAAAGGGATAATCTTGAGTGAGGTCTTTTCTGCCACCCTTCTCTCATGTAAAGGAGAGGGCACTTGCTCCTTGCAAGAACTGTGTTTCCATGTCTCATTTCTGGAGCCAGCTGCCCTCCTGCTCACTGGAGTACAGTGCCCACACCATAAAACAATAGATGCCTCCTCTGCTGCTGCTTATCCTCTAAATCACTTGTTCAGGACCCTCTCCTTCAAAGGTCTCATAAGACCCCCAAAAATTAGTCTTATGGCATGACCTGAAAATAAAAAATTATCACTCCTCCTTCAAGAGGCAGCTCAACTCTTACATGGGCTTTCCTAACAAACAGACCTGTTTCTGTGAGTGGAGCTGGAGTCACCGACACTAAATGGGTAAAAAAAGCTTTGAATGTTAAAAGCTCTGAAGCTGGAGAAAACTATTATGAAAAACTTGGTAATAGCAGAGGTGCTTATAAATTGCAGATTGCTAAAGTGAGATGAATCATTCAAGGGGGGGAGGGGGAATTACCCCCGGGATCAGAATAGGTGATCTCTGTCACTTTTGGAAAATTGTTATGTGGGAGAGAGAAGGTGAATTAGATGTGGGAGAACTTGCAAAACACAATTTATCCAGCACATTCAATCAGTTCTGTTTGTGAATTATCCACTCCAAACTCTTCTGCACAGTATGGCCTCTCCATAGCTTTCTTGCTGTTTTCTGTCTTCAGATTGGTTCGGAGGCCGGATAATACCATAGCAGTAAATTTACTAGTATTTGAAAAGCAAAGAGTTTATGTAGAGGCACATGTGCCACAGCTGTAAAGTAGTAGAGTGGCCCTGGCAAGATTAAAAAAAACTTGGTATTTTGGGGGTTGGGTTTTTTTTTTTTTTCCCCTTCTCATACCCCTTTCAAGGAGATCAGATTGACAGACAGCTGAGGATTTATATAAAGATATATTGCGTGTTTTGGTCAATTGTTTGTAAACTCATTTCAGTTTTTCCATAATGCTTGATAGTTACTTAGAAGTAGATTTTATGCACACAAGAGGAAGATCATGAAAACTTACAAAGATTACAAAGTTATAATACATAAAATTTAGTTTCTACTTTTTGTTGAGATATTTTTATATAAACTTTGTATACAAATTTGCCTTTCCTAGGAATAATAATTGTACTCCATCACTAGTTTAAATAATTGTACTCAAAATAAAGCTAATTTCTAAAGTCAAACTATGTAAATCAGTACTAATTGTCTACTAATGCATTAAAGTGAATACAAGAATTGGGTTTACAAGGAAATTGTGTTTTGTTTAGTAAGTTGCCTATGCTAAGTGATATCCAGAACAGAACCAACAGAATCTCTACTGCATTTACACAGCCAAAGTGAATGAATAAATATGGTTAACAGGTATAACAGTCTGCATTCCCACAGCGATATACTCCAAAATTTACATGAGCATGTGACGCTACAGGAGTATGCAAGATGACTTGCCCTATTTCATACACAAAAGAGGAAAAAATTACCTCATATGCAACCTGCAGAAGGTATAAGAGAATATTTTAACTTTCAGATAAGTAGGAGCTTAAATAGACCTCCCCCACCCTCATTATTTGAGCTTGGCACAAGCCACCTTAAAAAGCGGGTAAACATGCTGTTAGCCACAACTGCCTGTACAGAGATCTTAATCTTTAGTAACCTCTTGGTTGTGCATTATTCGCAGACATCTTTAGGAACTTGAACTGTTCATAGCAAGCCTCCCCTCAGGCTCTCAGTAGCATTGAATCTCTGCTTTACATTTACTAAAAGATGCTTGCACTTAAACTTTAGTCAGGAAAAACTGAAAACTACCTATAATCAGAAGCCCTTACATACAAATAAAAGTTGGTCTTTAACTACATGTTAATGTGACACCCGAATTTGGAAGAGGGGAGTGGATTTGATGTTCAGACTTATGAGCCTTGAGGGTCATTATTTTTCCAATGTCAACATATTATTGTGCCAAGAATGGTTACAAATAAAAATAAGCCAAAAAGACAACGTTGGGATTTTAAAAAATGACAGAATCTTGCAAGTTTATATCCCACGTATAGCTTTAGGCTAATTAAAATTCTATTTTAAATGGGTTGATTGAACATTTTCAGGAAATTATGTGTTCTCTGGGGAAACCCCCCCCATTTCTGTTAGAAACACTCCCACAAATAGTGCAGGTGTATTCCTATGAAGTCATAAATATTCAGTGACTGCTGTATTAGCGTGGCAACGTAGCTTTGTATTCCATACAAAGGCTTCTTTTGAGCTATTTGAACCACAGCAAAAGCCTTGAAGTGTATAAGGTCTCCCAGATCTGGAAATAGTCAGCATCTATGAACTGAGGGACACGGACCATCAGGCTTTATAGGAGAGGAGCTGTGATGTTTTAGACTTACCTGGCCACGTGGAAAGGGAGCGGAGAGAATTACTTGGAAATCCAAATGTATATAAACTGTTATTTTCCCTTAAGAGGGTGCCCTCCCTCTCACCCAGAAAATTGATACTCTTATAAACCGAGCTCATTGATGTTCCTGAGAAGCTGACATATAAATTGAAAAGAGAATACAAACAGTGAAAAGTTTCTTCATGTCGGTACCTGGTGTCTTTTCTGAAGTTTGTTGCTTGTTTCTGTAGCAGAGGAGATGAAGGGACCTTTCTGGGGTCAGTCCCCACAGACCTCCAGGCAGGAACCAGACGCTCTTGGTGCTGCTGAGAGGCAGTGGCCCAGCGGCTCCTTTCCCCAGTGAGAGGACACCTGGGAAAGGTGGAGATTTGAGGTCAACAGCAAGAAACTAACACAAAGGAGATTTACAAAAAATCAAAGCGCAGAAAGTTACATCAAGGAAATACT